GGTTATATAGGGATAGTGGAAAAGAAAATGGAAACTACTATAGTAGATTGGGGGTATATATTGGGTTATATAGGGATAATGGAAAAGAAAATGGAAACTACTATAGTAGATTGGGTGTATGTATTGGGTTATATAGGGATAATGGAAAAATGGAAACTACTATAATGAGGTTACATAGGGTTTAGGGTTTAGCGGTTTCAGGTGTAGGGTTTGGGGCTTAGGGTTCAGGGTCCAAGGGTCCAAGGGTTCACGGTGCAGTGTTAGGGTTTAGGGATCGCGAAAGTTAGGGATGGTCCAGAGAAGGGAGGAGAGCTGGCCATACCTTCTGAAAGACCCCCAAAAAGGAGCAGATCAGGATGTACAGGGCTTGGGGTTTGGGATTAAGCAGGGGCGACCCCAGAAAATTCCAAAAAATGGAAACCTTCAATCGGGGGTGCAGGGTTGCACTTGCGAAAGAGTAGACATCAAATTTGCCGACCCTGCCGCCTCGCGGCATGACCGCCCAATGCCGAGGGTGTCGGTGTTTTATGTGCATTTCTCGGGTTTGAGCGTCTTCTCTTTCCCAAAAAAATCCTGTTGAAATCCGTGATTAACAGGATTCCAGACTATTTTTGCAATCCTCTTTAAGTTAGAATTTGCAACCGTGGGACCCTGGGACTCTACATACCCGGCATATAACCTACATCATCCCTACAGTCGCCCAGAATCCTCCTAAAAGGCTACGGGGCCCATAGGGTTTAGACTTAGGGTATATCGGGCTGAGGGATCACGGGTACCTGCAACTGGATCAGGTAGTATCAGGTCCAGCAAAATCGTAATTATGCTAAACACCCTAAACTCTAATCCCCACACCATCATCCCTAAACCCTGAATCCTAAACCCGCCCAATTCCTCCTCTGATGCCGTTTGCCTTGTCCCAAAGTGCCGGACCTCAAAGGCACTGGCAGCGCCGCGGTGGTCATGTGGAGCTAGGGTGGAAATTAATTAGAATCAATGTAGGGTTGGGGTTTAGGGGTTTGGGGTTAGGGTTTAGGGATTAAGGACCCCAAGTGCCTGATATCCTGGGAATTACGGTGCTGTAGTATACTGAATTCACGCAGGAATTTGTAGCATCACGAGTGGCTGCATTTGAGATGCTCCCGGCATCGACGGAAATTCCGTGCGAAGGATGCAGGAAAAAGAGGAGAGTGCACTGAGCAAGAGCATGCCCTGCAGGTTAATGTTGACTTCACATTTGGGACCAGGCCTGCAATTATGAAATTCCGCCGCCGGGGTACAATTATAGATAGACCCACAATGAAGATATTCAGGGTTGAGTTCAGTTATATTTCAAATCGATTTTAAACATTTCTTCAAATATTCGAATGGATGTAGAGTAATCGGTGGGTATTACAGTAATGTGAAGTCGCCATTAAGCGATCCACTCGTAAATCTACCCTGGTGCCCTAGCAGCTTTCCATGAAATCTTAAACCTTAATTCCTAAACCCTTAAACCTAAACCCTAAACCCTTAAACCCTAAACCCTTAAACCTAAACCCTCAAACCCTTAAACCCTAAACCCTTAAACTGGAGCTGCAGAAGTGTAAGCCTTGCTGTTTCGCCGCAGCGCTTTCAGCGTTGTCTTTCTCTATATAGCAGGTCTTTCCCTTGCCGGCAGGGTCCCGCCAGCATATTGCACAGTTCCCTGGACGCCGCTCGCTCAGTATGTGTTTGCCATGCTTGGCTTACGGTTGACATGGTAGTTTCCAAAAATGAGGGGCATCCAACAAAGATCCAAAATGCCATAATCCTTATCATGAGAACTCCAAAAAGAACCTCTACGTCTTGGAAACCCTACAGTGCCCTAGAAGCTTTAAGCCACTAAAGAATCCCCCTGTCCATTTAATTGTCCATTTGCTTTGACCCACTCCTACACGCCCTTATATGATGCGTGTTTTTTTATCGGTCATAGGAGATATGTACAGGATGGAAATTGGATTCGTGACGCAAGGTTTTTGATTGGACAACGATAACACACTCACCAACTTTCCGTTGACCAATTTCTCAGACCTTAAAGAAAAACCGTGCATCATCTAGCCCTGCATTTACCTATAGCCCCTCTAGAGGGACCCATAACTTTGGAGACACCCACATGGCGACTCAAGGGTGCATACGTGGTGGTAAGGTAAATAGCATTAGAATCAAGCAACATCTGAAAACCCTAAACCCAGAGGTGGGGTTTAGGGTTGCGACTAAACCCAGAGGTCTTGCTGCCGCGGAGCGGCTAAAGAAGCAGAACTGCATGAGGCGGGACTTTCACAAAGTTACTTGGGATATTCCGCAGAAGAAGATTTTGTTATTATGGACCACAATCCCTAGACATTCCTTCTAAACCCCCCCCAAAATGGCGCCCCTAAATCAGGGGTTGAGGCTTTAAGTAGGGTTTAGGCGTGGGGTTCAAGGTTTCAGTGTTTAGGTGTGGGGTTCAGGGTTTAGGATTTAGGTGTGGGGTTTAAGGTTTTGGATTAAGGTGTGCGGCTTGGGGATCGATGGCGGGGTGGCAAAATGATGGCCCCTTTTGTGGTCGCTGCGGCCCATTCTGATTATACTGCGTCCCTAAACAGTAAACCCCAAACCCTAAACCCCCTAAGCAATTTTGACAACCTGGTTCTCCAGTCTAGAAACCAGCTAACGACTCCTTTGGAAGGTGGGATTTGACCTATATGGGAATTATATAGGGTTTTGGGTTTAGGGCTTAGGGATTTGATTGTATGGGAGTATAGGACCTGTATGAGCTCGAGGGTTATGCTTACGGAACTTGAAGGAAGTGATCATGCTATGGATATATGGAATGACAATTTTTCTTCACATGCTAGCATGAACTGAGTCCCCTGAGAAAAATCCAGTGATAGGGGCTTTCTTATGGTCCGGCTCTAGCTTCCATACATCCATAGGGTTCCAAGGCCCCTGTTCAAAGTCCTAAGCCTATAGGCCCTAAGTTACAACCCTAAACCCTTGTCAAAATGAAGAGCCTAATCCCCTCTGCGAGCCCCAAAGAAGGTAACTCTAAGCAGCCACGCGGTTCAAGTTTCAGGGTTTAGGGTTCAGGGTTTAGGGTTTAGGTCTACTTAGAGGGTCACTACTTGGAGGGTCAACTGGACTCAGCGAGTATTAGCCCCTATAATCCATTAGTAACCCCAGTTATCCTCATCATTAACCTGCATAGTAAGTCCCCTGACCCTCCAATACCTAAGCCTGAAGGATCCCTAAACCCAAAACCCTAAATCCCAAAGTCAAAACCCTTCAAGGTTTAAGAGGGTTTAGGGTAAAGGGTTAAGGCTTTGGGGGGTTTAGGAGTTTGTAGATTTGAGTTTTAGGGCTGAGAGGTTTAGGGTCTAGGTCTGGGGTTTAGGATGGCTGTCCTAGATCCTGGGACAGGCATTTGGGGACATCGCGCAACGCTGTCCTCGTGGCGCTGCTCTTTGGTGCATCTACATTTCTGCAGGGCTGCGATGACGACCAGGTTGCTTGATAGGGGCATTCTTCTCGGGTCTAGAGCAGGGATTTTTGCTTTGAATAGTTGAACCCTGAACCCTAAACCCTGAACCATAAACCCTAAACCCTAAACCCTGAACCCTGAACCCTAAAAGTCTTAACCCGAAACCTGGCTACACGTTGAAATCCATGCCATGACACATAGATTTAAAGAGGATTCAGGGAGCCATGCCTTGCCAGCCCTAGGCTTGACGTTGAGGGTTTAGGGGTTTAGGGTTTGGGGGTTTAGGGTTTAGAGGTTTAGGGAGTAGGGTTCAGGGGTTTAGGGTTTAGGGTGTAGGGGTTCAGGGTTTAGGGTTTAGGGATTCTTGAAATACCTAAAACCCCCTATATGAGCCATAATCTAATCTCCTTAAAAAGGGGGTTATATAGGGGACTACTATTGGGGTTATTAAGGGGGATACCAGGAGTTTACATGATAGCTCATATCATCCACATAAGGCCATTAAAGCCCTAAACCCTGAATTTCTATACCCTAAGACGGGCTACAGGGCCTCCGAGCCTATCCCAGTTGAGTTAAGTCTACATCTCGCAGCTCGCCCTCAGAGGCAGGGCTTGCTGGTCCCTTCGAATCTGCCTAGACCCTGGGTTGAGAGTTTTGGGGTTTAGGGGTATAGGGTTTAGGGGTTCAGGCTTTAGGGGCTTAGGGGTCTAGGGTAACATCCTACAGCCTAAGCCTCAGCCTTTGCTCCCAATGTATTCTGCAGAGCGTCCTGTAGCATTGAAGGTTTTGGGGCCGTACGACTGGTCATAACATAGAACACGCGCCCTACACCCTAAACCCGAGACCCCAAGCACCGCTTTGGCAAGCCCCGAGCCTGATATGCCCTAAACCCTTGGCCCTAAGTTTAGGTCTTAGTGTTCAGGGTTTTAGGGTTTTGGTTTGGGGTGTTAGGGTTTACCCTAAACTCTTTAACCCTAAACTCTTAAACCCTTGCCCTTAACCCAGACTCTTTGCCAGGTTCTTAACTTTGCTTCTTGCCAGGAGAGCATCACACAATGCATCATTCCCTATACCCATCCATCTAAGAACCCCTAAGATCTCCTTCGCCTAGACAATTATTGAACCCCACACCCCTAAGGGTTTAGGGTTTAGGATTTAGGTTTAGCCTTCCGCATGCTTCTTGAAATATGCCGGGAACATTTGAGATCAGGAGCGTGGCTGGTTTGATATGATTGCGGGAGGGGTCCAATCTAAGGTCGGTTTAGGGGGTATATCGCGCGTATATAATACGGAGCCCAACTATGGAGTTCATGGTTTCAACCTTAGAAACATCACATTCCTCCATTGCTTGCTTACAGGAGGCAGGCAATGGCTCAACTCAACTTTCTGACAAGGAACTCCCTCGGGTTTAGCACATAGGGTTTCTGAATCAATGATAAACTATACTGGGCCCATCGGGCCCTTTTTGGGTTGCCCTACCAGTTCCCAATATTGGAGTACTACACTTTAATACTTTTTTGGTTCCTGGGTTCTTACTATAACAACTTATACCTAAAAAGCCTATACTTTTTTTTGAGGTGTACTCCAAACTTGGGAGTTGGAAGGGTAGAGTTCCAGAGCGCTAGGAGGAGGAGCCGATCAAGGAGCCGCCCGTGGCAGCCAAGGCCAGGGAGGGGTCCTAAAATTTACAGTCCCCCTTAAGTTTAGCGTTTAGGGTTTAGGGTTTAAGTAGATAGAATATGAGCCATAATCTAAGCCCCTTAAAGGGGGTTATATAGGGGATTATATAGGGACCATTATAGGGGGTTATGAAGGGGGATACTAGGAAATAGACAGTGGCTCATATGGCTTTGGGTATTACAATAAGATCCCCATATACCCCGTATTCTATCTACTTAAGGGAGACGATACAGTTTGTTCAGATTGTGACTACTCTTACTCCTGCAAATACTATGGGATTACTGCTGCTGCTACTACTACTCTAACTTTTGCCAGCATTAGGGGCTTGTTTTGTTGTTCAGCTTCTTGGGGGTATACGAAGGGGTGAACCTTTTTTGGAGTGCTTAATTAGGCAGAGGAGCAGGGATACCCATGAAGTATGGTGAGCGGATTCCCTTGAGAGATTGCAGGGCTTCCGTGTGTGTTTGTGTGGAGTATATGTAGGAGTGTTAGGATGACTGGGTGCTCCGGGGGAGAAGCGATCTAGATAGGGAAAGTTAGATCCCCATAACATAATGTAGGGGCCTCAATGTTCACCGATGTTGTCTTGTCGCGTATTTGAGGGTCATGGTACCACAATCTGTCGATGTTCTATTAACATGGGCGCCGGCTTTAGGGTTTGGGATCCGTTTGAAAGGCAGAAATTAAGTAGGAAGAGTCTGTAGCAAGAGGGGCCAACACCCTACAAGAATGATCCTAATTTGGGCTGTTCAAGGGGAAGGTTTGAAAACATTTTGCCCATCCCCAACCCATATATATGTACATATTAAAATCTCTCTAAAGTAATGATTGGGGCCGGGGAACAAAACTGTCCAAGCTCTGAACCTAAACCCTTAAACCCCTAAACCCCAAACCCCTAAACCCTAAACCCCTAAACCCTTGGGATTGAGAGGTTCAAGGGCAGAGCCTTGCAAAACGCTTTTTCATCCCAGAGCTCCTCAAAAGAGTTGCTTAGGTTTGGTGTTTAGGGTTTAGGGTTTGGGGGTTTAGGGTTTAGGGGTTAGGGGTTTAGAGGTTTAGAGGTTTAGGGTTTAGGGGTTTAGGGGTTTAGGGCCTAGGGGTTTAGGGTACAGTTCCGAAAGAACTCCCATGTAACCTCCAGACACTAGCTGCTGCTAGCTTTGAGGCTCTCTGCTTCACCCAAGTATTCATCTCCATAGACTTCTGGGACGTCATGTCATTTTCCCATGCAAAGCCCCAAACTCTGAAACCACCCCAAAGCTATGCCTGTTGGAGCACCCAAGACCCTTTGCCCCAGATCCGAACCCTAAAACCCAAACCTCCACTCAACCCAAGACCCTGCGCTGCTGAAGCCTAAGCAGGCGCTGATGTTTCCAGGATTATGTTTGGACTATTACGCGTAACAAAAATACCTGATACTTTTTTGAACATTTACTCGTGATAGGGCCCCAAAATCTATCCCTAAACCCCAAACCCTAAACCAGAGCATGGCACTCTGTCAGGACAAGCACCAGGTAGAGGATCTGGAGGGCGCAGACGAAGACAGTTGGGAGCTTAAGATTTAGGGTTTAGGGTTTAGGATTTAGGGTTTAGGGGGCGGGTTCAAATGATCATCCCCAAACAGCGAGAGCAAAACACATAGACAGACTTTTGGAAATGGGTATCTTTGCCTGAGGGCTTGTCAAAAGGGACTTTGCATGCGATATCCCTATCTATCTATCTATCTATCTATTACTGTTTTGTTTTTCGGGCCCTAAAACCCCAAACTGTGTGGCAGTCTTTCATAGTTTGGACTCCCTGCCACGGTCTCCGGAGAATCTCTAATTATAAAAGCTAGCGCGCGCCCGCCTCGGCTGGCGGGGCGCGGAGCACATGAATAGGTCATGGTTCCAACCTTCACACGTGGGGTTTAGGGTCGAGGGAGTAACAGAGGCAAGCCTCACTTCAGACGTGTTTGTTGCATGCCTGTTCCAGCATTCATGGAGGGGGTTGGCTGGGCTCAGTTCATCAGCCTTTAGTGAGGGAGCTCCAAAGCTTTGAGAGGCGTAGAACCGGCTGCGTTCTGTAAGTCCCCAAGTGCAATTCACCTGGGAGTGGGGGGGCGATGTGGGGGGAATGTGGGGGAGGGGGGGAGTTGAACCTGGGGCGAGGCTGGAATTCTTTCCAGCCTCGGCGAACTCCCGTTGTGGTTGCCTTTCACCGATTGGTACTGTTACCAAAATATCCTTCATAATGTCCTTTGTACCCATTATTTGGGGTAAGAAGGCCATTCCGGGTGTTTAGGATGTCTAGCTAATCCCAAACCCATGCATCATTCTTCCAATGGGTGCGCCCATTTTCAATTTTGAGAAGGAAGCACCTGATGTCGACCCCCCGGCTTCCCAATATCAAATGATCTAAGAGTGATCCCCCGCCATTCCCCAATATCAAATATTACCACTAGTATATTTCGTATCGGGGGAGTGGGGGATGTTTAATACTAGGAGGAGTGAATTGATGAGCAACACTGGTAATGAAAGACATAGGTACCGCGGCCAGGGTTCAGCGTGTTGGCTTCTTCCCAACCCTAAAAGCCTACTCCCTAAACCCTAACCCCTTTGGTATCCTGTTTGATGTCCTTCTGGGGCATTTTCAACGTTGGGCTCCGTTGGGAGGGGGAGGTTTGGGCTGTTCAATGCCAGCCCTGCATGGTCCTATTTGGGGTCCGCAAATTAGGGGTCCCTTTAAAACGGTTTATAGGGGTTATATGGGGGTATACAGGGTTTAGGATTTACGTAGGGTTTGGGTACTAGGGTTTAGGGATACCATTCTGGAGGGCCCAAAAAAGGATCACAATCTATAAGGGTCTATAGGAAGGTTCCTCTTTTTCTAGAAACTACAATTTCTTCGTAGCCTTTTCTAGCCCTAGTGGGGTCCCCGATGTTTTCCTTCTAGCAAGTAAAGTATAGCAACACAAAGGCTACCCCATACCGTAAACAGCAAACCCTGGACCATTTCTGCTGAGCAGCTCTTTCTCAGGTCGTGGGAAGCAAAGCGCCTTGGACAGGGCGCGCGCAACAGAGCTCTGGGAGTATTTTGCTGATCTTGCCATCATTGTCCGTCTTGTCGCCTGTTTGCTACTTTAAAGGCTGCTATCCTTATCCTTGAGCCTTCGTGGTGCCATTTGTGCAGATGCCTTTACGCCTCTTAAATCGGTGCATGGTGACCTGCGACAAGCTGGAGTCTCATTTTGCCTCGAAGACACACTCGGAAGCAGAGTAAGACAGCATGCCATCAGCATGATCACGTCCACAATCACGGTGACAAAGGAGCTTCGCGACGTTTGCCTTGGTTTCCATAAGGTAAGAGAGTGAACCTGTTTTGGCTGCCCTAGTTACAAGGATTCTGCTATTTATAGGAGCCAACATAGAATTCCTCAAGCACCCCCCTAATTTGGAACGTGCGCAGGCCCTCCATGCACATATATGTATATATAAATACACACACACACGCACACTCTCCGTACATGTCCCTATACATTCAGCATGTTGCGTAGTCAGCTTCCCGGCAGGTGCCAATTGTAGAGCGCGAGCAGCACGAAGCTCACGTTCATTTCTCAGTGTGCGGTAGGGGCACTGTTCAAGCACCCTATGGGGGACCGGTCACCATTGCCATTGCTGACATAGCATTCGCGGTCCTTGCGGGACTGAATGCCCTTGATCTGTGTTTGGGCATCTGCCGCGGCAAAGGAACACGCCTGGGGATTTGGCCGTTCTTCAAGTCGATCAGGACAAGCGAGAGTGTGAAGCATTGCATGAATTGCCAAGCCAAATGTTCCAGCTTTTCTACGCTCCAGAGACCACGGGTTTAGGGTTTAGGGTTGAATGGAAGTGTGGTGAACTTGGCAGGAGGGCCTGCCACACAGCTGGTTCTGGTCAACGCCAGTAGCGTCAAGCGTGATGCTCTGCCTGGCAAGGGCGACAAGCTGCTGCTCAGCAGCACGTCCATTCTACAAGTACTACACGTAATAATACCACATGTAATAGTTGTAACCATAATGGTTTTTCAATAGTCTCAGTAATAATAGTCATAAACAACAGTAGTAAGAATAAGAGCAATACTAGTAATAATAAGAATAACCACATTCGGATTCACGGCGCTCGTAACAATAGAGATAGTGGTGATACGAGTATTGTACTTCGTACTCTACCAGAGCATGTTCATTGCTCAGAGACTGACGCTAGGCAACGACAGAGGTGACCGTTCCACCCTTGTCCGCCCAGCGTTTATGAAGGCGTTTCTGAACAACTGGATTCCTCAAACCCTAACCCATAAACCCCTAAAGCCAGTATTGTAGATTCCATTTTCTTTGCCAGTCCCCGTACATTCCTAAACATGCCTATATAATTCCACTGAAGGTTCATATACTGCATGCACTATGTTGGTAAAAAAGGGCCCTCTAAAACCTCTGGGCCCCTCGTGAACATCCCAGCCGAGGTTAGACCATGAGCGTGCCTACGAGCGAGCGCTGATGTCGGGGACCGGGGCGGGTAGACAGGCGCCGCGCGACAGGGTATCTAACGGGCCATCCCACATCCATAGCTGACGTGGCTCCTAAGTTTTTTGGATGAAAAGCACGCAAAAAAAGAAAACAACAAAAAAGCAACTGTCCACACAAAAATCAAAATCCGGGAGTTTGAAATGCGATCGCGGCAAGTCATGCGCGAAAGCTAAGGAGCGCGCACGACATGTGCTGGCACCCTTGATTTTCGGACACCTCACACGATCCATAGCTAACGTAGTTTCTAAGCTTTTCCGCTTTAAAGCACGAACAACACTTCCGAACGTAAATCCAAATCCAGGAGTTTGAAAGATGATCGCAGCAAGTCATGCGTGAAAGCTAAGGAGCGCGCGCAGCCACTTTTTTAGAGGGAAGCCATTAATGTCCGGGATTTCTCAAAATTAGGACTACCATTTTGGGGTTCCTATATAGTCTATATGTAAGGGTTTTAGTAGTTTTGGGTTTGTATCCGGACCCCCCATTTGCGGAAACTACCAGATCGCTACTACAAGTAGTAGTAGTAGTAGTAGTAGTAGTAGTAGTAGTGGTAGTAGTAGTAGTAGTAGCAGCAGCAGCAGTAGTAATAGTAGTAGTAGTCGTAGT